CTGTTGAATAACAGAACAGTTTCGAACGGATTTTTCAATAAAAAGCAGTAACCACTCTCAGCTCACAGAAAAAATTGACTTGCGAATTCAATTTTTGCACGAACAAATTTTTCAGTCTCATTAGTATCTTGGGTAGGTTGCAATTTGCCATTTTTCAAAAGACCTGTGTTTTTTTTTCGATAGTGTCAAACCATGAGTATTTTGAAAAATTAATATCTCGAAAAGGCATTATCAAAAAGTTTTGAACTTTATTTAGAAAACTATTCTACAAAGAGGTCTATTGTTTGGGCATAGTTTCAAGCCAAAATTGGAAAGTATGATATTGCTTGAAAACATGTGTGTTCCAGGAAAAGTCTACGAAATATTTGATATCTAAGCAACAATGGCTTACAAGCATATATCACTCCTAAGTGTTTATCTGGTCACTCGGCCTCATTAAGTGAACAAAGTTCTAGCTTAAAAACGTGTGATACTTGAGACGCTCCCTTCTAATTGCGATTTGATATCAATGGTGAAATGATTGATAAGGGCTGCATGTGAAGAAAAGCTTTCAATCTGTTTTATAGCTATTACAAAATCAGTTCAATATCTGTTCTGCAATTCATTTATTGAAGTAAAAGCCTTGCTCTGTTATTATTTTACTGAGATGCAAATTTTACTATATTATGTGAGAAACCTGAAAAACAACACCATGGAGCCCTTAAATGTCATCCAAAGGCGAAGATTTTGATATTACTGAAAAGTCTACGAATAAACTAGCAAATGACCTACCGATTTTGAATCTATAAGTTCAGCTCTATTAAATCGTACATTTCATGCTGCTGCGAATAGTTTCCTCGATATTCAAAAGAGTACACATGATAGTCGACGGTACACAGATCTATGTGAAATAAATACAGGACGAACTTATTTGCGACGATTCATACCAGCGTTCAAGTGGGAAAAGATCATGGATCGATAAATTTATCATAATGAGGGTGTGGGTTGTGGCATTTCTCTTTAATCACACCCACACCCTCAAGAGTCAGTAGTACACAGAAGTGTCATGAAGCAGTCAGAATTGAGAAGCGAAGGTCATCAACAATGTCGCAGGACTTCCGCCGGAGAAAAACAAAATGTGTCGAGGATTGGAAGCAGTTACTCCTCCCCCCTCCCCTCCCCCATGTTGTTCACGACACATCTGGATAATGTATATATGCGTTATCTGTCCCAAGAGAGTTATACTGGATGTGGATAAGGGTGAGGATCTTGACTGCATCCCACGCCCTCACACTCACGTTTATTGTTGTGACCTAGCAGTTCGTTATACTTTAATGTAAAGAAAACAAATTCTTTTTCTCAGTTGACAACCAGCCGAGACAATGTATGTTCCATAGTCCTCAAAGAGTTAGTAAATGCATCTTTACTTTTGACATAGAAGAACTTCTCTGTGGGTGAACAAACACATATTATTTGGTACACAATAAAATTGTCTTCCGACTATGTGAATAGTTCTCTATGTGTATACTGTTGTCTTTCCGAAAGGTAGTATTGTCGTTAAAGATTGTAGGTAGCGACTTCCTCTCACTCAAATCTACTCATACCCACTCTCATTTAATATACTACTATTTTCTCTATTGGAAATTAGACATATTATTCAACATATATTCATTCAATTAGAAATTAAAAAGAAAAGTGTAATAATTTTTAGTTATAATTTTTGTAATTATCCATGAGAACGAAAACGATGAAGGGAAAACAGTATTTCTCTAGAAATTGAGTCGAAAAGCAATTCTTTCCGAACATAATTTCTATTGTGATAAAAGTAAGTAAAACATTGCTTCATTTAAAACAGTTTAAAAATCATGTTTGTGTTTCATATTATTAATAAATATAATTGTACTTTTCGAAATACATGAAACTAAATTGACAGACAATTTTCTACTTAATTTTCAAGGTAAAGATTTTGACAAAAAACGTATCTTATACTTGATCACTGCATTACTCCAACATAAATTTGACGAAGAAAAAACTTTTAGGAAGCATAATTTTGAAACAATCCTCTAGGAGCTTTAAGATGAATCCGAGACGCTTGTCGATCTACAGTTAATGGCGAACAACTAATATTCGTTGTAGATAACGTCAGAAATAAGAAAACTAAAATAATGTGATGAAAAGTATATCAATGGAAATAATATTTGACATACGTACCATACAATCGATAGTAATACATGGATCTATTGCAGCACTTATGTATTCTCTATGAACACTAAACAAATGTTTTAAAATGATTAGACATTATTTTTATGTAGAAAACTAGACAATTCTATACAACGGTCATTCTCTTTGAGAAGTCTACTAATTTTTATCGTATTGTATTTCGATTAACATAAATGTACGGATACGCATGGTCATAATAATTGATCTAATTCAGAGTAAAATAGTTGTTAGGGTCAGAGAGAAAAGGAAAGTCATTAGAATATATATCATAACTAAACTATCAAAATTCGACGTCTAACACAATAAAACACAGGCATGTATATTTTATTAATTACAAAAGACTTTTATAAAAATAAGAAAATCAACTTTGACTATAATGTTACAATTTTCTTATACTATTATATATATATATTCTATTCTGTTCTTGCGAAAAGTGGAGACATGACGATGTAACACCAATGATAACGAAATATTTGTTTTCTTTTTTTTGTTCTCTTATCAAAGTAGGTTCAAGAAAATGTGAGTCTCCTTTTCCAATCAAACAGCTTGTAGAGTTTTATGACATAATGTATGCTTCTACATAGACTATTTTTGACGTGTTAAGTAGATCTTAAACTGAGAAAAGTAACTATAAATAATTCATTTCGGAAATAGACATGTACATTAATAAGAAGAAAGCCAAACTGATACCCAAATGGTGCAGCAATCATTTGCTATTTCTAATAAACAACTTGGTCACTGTTACAAAAACAAAAATAAAATTAACGCTCAAAAATAAAACGAAGTGTATGCTTAGATTTTTGGTTCTCTACATGTCTACCGGGTTCTTTATGAAGATGAGAATTCATGATAACCCTTTTCACAACACCCTGTGGAAGAAACAAATGAACACCTACTTGACTTAAACAATCAGAAATTTATTCTTTATATGCCATATCATCGTTCTTTCTACTATAGCTATAGCGCCAAGTTTATTGCAGTTTTGCTATCAAAAATAAAAAAGGAATATATTTGTGCTAGCACATGCTACATAGTTAACTATCTGTCTATCTGCTCATCTAACTAACTGTGTATCGTATTCTCTACGTGAATATATTCTTATATGTTTATTTAACTAACTGTATCCTTACCTATCTATCTATCTGGCAATCTCTCTGTTTCTAACGAGCTACCTAACCATCTATTTGTCTACCTACATATCAGTCTATCTTCTCTTATCAGAGTAAAAACAACACACGAAAGTAGATATGGGGGTGTGCGTGTGTGGGTGTGAGTGTGGGTCTGTTTTGAATGAATATCAAAGCCCACGATATCCAGACTCTAATATGAATGAATTAAATTCGAAGTTTAGACAACACTCAACAGAGTACTTGTCAAAGTTCTTCGAGAGAAAAGATGAGGTGCTCTGAAGTTTATTTAGGACAGGTTAATATGATGGTTGCAAGGAGGAAACAAAGAATAAAATGACTTTTGTTGGTGACTATGCTATTCATCGTGTAGATTATAGTTAGGAGAAAAGAAACGATATATTGAACGACATTCAAACAGTTTCGAAACCATAAAATTTCAGTGTGTATGCAAGTACTAAAAAAATTTTTACAATTTTGATTAATTCATTTATTTGACATTTTTGAAAATAAATTATATGAAGTTGTCTGGTAATAGTCTATAAATTTATAGTATTCAAAGTTTGTGAGTTTCCCATTTTGATCCCTCATGAAACGGTACATCGTTAGATCCCATCAGGAAAGCTGTTAGATTAAACAAGATTTCTAAAAATAAGACAATTCTCTATTCATTCGTTTTCGACTATTAAAACATGTCAGTATCTTGAAAATATAGACTTTTCAAATTGCTACTACAAAAAGCAAATTTTTTATATGTTACTATAAGATATAATCATTGTGTAAGTTCGGGAATCACTTTCTTTTTTAAAATCTTTTCAGAAATTCATTTATCATCAAGGAAATGATATAATTTGCACGGCTGCTTGAGAAAGTGGCATTAAATATTCAAAATGCATAAAGATGTCCTTTCCCTTACGTACATTGTAGCGATATCGTTGTATCTGTTCTTACTCATAACTTTGCTTCCTGTTATTCATATTTTCTACTTATAATTATTCTCTTTCTGTTTTTCTTTCCTTTTTTCACTTCTGGCTGTTGTGTACGTAAACTATACGATTCTTAATAAGAAGAGATATAAATAAGGGTAATTCTATCGATGCTAACCCTTCTTCTATCCAAAACTCGTCGCAGACATCAGACATACTGCGCTTCGACATGAGAAAAAAAGGATATGATAATTAGAGCAGTATAACTTTTTGTCTTATATATAAATTTTTTGATAATGTTATGACTTTGTATAGTTTAGAAAAATATCAATATTATTGCAGCCAATGTATGTTGTTTAATTCGCTACTTGCATAATCATTTGCTTTTTAGTGAAAAACCCAACAGTACAATTTTAGTTTCTTCTCTCTGTCTACTTGACTTTTGTTGTTACCTGTTATGTAGTTGCATTGATAGGAGTCATTCTTTCTCTCGTCATACCTAGCAAAAACTAAGTTCTTATCATGTCATCCTGCTTTCAAATAATCATGTTTTATTTCAAAAAATCTACTTTCACAATCAATTACAATACTTCAATTAATAATATAGATATTGAAATATATATTAAATACTGTCGAGTCCAAACTTAGAAAAAAAAACGTATTGTACAGTCTTCAAAATACATTAAATAAATGAGCGAATGATTACTAATAGATATTTCCTTTTTTTTTTCAGATCAAGAAATTCGAAATGACAACTTCAACTGCAAGACGTATATTAAGTGAAATAGAACAATTACAAAACTTAGCAGCAGATAAAGATCCGTCATCTGTTCAATTTCTTCTTGATGAAACATCTATGGAAAGTCCAGAATCATGTGTAATTCTTGGAAGAATTTTACCTAAATCACAAATTTATAATCAAGCTGCATTTCAAATAGAAATAAAATTAANAAAATAGAAAAGATTCACGTTTACTCAATTATTTAACTACCATTTCCGATTTTCTACCGGCATTTACTGATTTGTGCATGCCTTTGTTCGTCAAAGTCGAGGGTAAAACTAACTAATTTAACACCAATACATAGAGCACTTTGTACTCTATGCTTCCACGATTTTTTCAAGGTTCATGACACTGTAGCTGAGGAAGAAAGACTTAGAACGCACACCTTTGGATATTTTTGCGTATACTATCAAAAACTATGCTTTCAAAAGTTGAACTTACCCTGTTCAAGATACGTAGGATATCTTATGTCAGGATTCGAGTTTTTCCCGAATCGATTCGCCCCAAACACCTTTGCAACCAAGATAAACACCTTTTCAAGTAGATCTTGATGAGCTCTATCGAATGAACACCTTTTGAGTTCGATTTTATACTCTGGGCACCTGAAAACTGGCCAATTCCAGGCTGAATTTCTTAGATTTTCGGTGTGGGTGTGTGTGGGAGGGGGTGGGAGCGTGTTGGAAGCTGTAGACATGCGTATAAGTATCGGATATTTATTATCATACCCAAACGCACACCCACACCCACACCCCTGACACAAATCGATCGATATCGGTAGAAAATCAGAAAGTATAGTTACAAGCTTGAGTAGGTATTCATCTTTTCAATTTTGCACCAACAAGAAAAAGGTAGTATAAAAGCAGAAAATTTTTTATGGAACGAGTCTCAAGCAACGTCTCACGTGTGGCGAGATATGCTCTACCAATGGCAAACATTTGGAACCGTTTTTTATGAATCAACGGTCATTGTTATCCTTGATATAGTTGTTCAGTACACTATTCCATCATTCCATGTGTGTCTAATTGATACGGAACACTGGTTTATATATATATATGAGAGTGATCGATGGAGAAAAGATTGAATAAAGGACAAAAGTATGCAGGTAGTTATTAGTGTTAATGAAGTCAGCGCGTCTAGCTGAATATAGTGGTCACACTCTCTAACAGCATCAAACAGATAACAAATAAAGAGATGACGTGTGGTAATGATTGGTACATTCGTCGAACAGAGGGATCTATGCAATATTCGAATTATTCTTTAGCAAATCAATGTAATACAAAAGAAAATTTCAAGTATGATCATAATCTGTAACTACTTCAAAAAAAAATATTTCTACAATGATGAAAAACTTATTAAAAACTTACTTTGATGACAATGACAAAAAGTCAAATCTAGGGAAATCTGTTGATGGAGATTTTTTCAGTATATTTTATTTATTTTCTAGTACATAAATGCAAACTAAAATAAATTATCATACGATGATAAAAAATTGTCAACACTTAGAATATGCGATTCTTTTTTTTTTGTAAAAACGTGCGCCTATAGTTACGATATATATTTATTGTGAGCGTACATGATCAAAAAAATACACAAATGGAAATCATAATATTTTCAGAATGATTCATTTTTTTAAGCAAAAGCTAGACGTCATCTGTTGAAGTTAACATCGAAAGACAAGAGCTCATGAAATATTTCGTTTTTTCCAATGACTAATAAAAAAAATTAATTCGAGGAATATTGGAGAAGTTGTCGTAGACTTTTCATTTGTTCATGTCTATCCCAATGCTATCACACAATTCATCAAAAAATTAAGTGATCCTTGATAAAGATATACGAAAAAGCTTCTAAAAGTCTTATGGGATCAAAAACAACAAAGAAAAAGGTGTCATTAGAAAAATTGTTACATATTTTCAATAATTTTCCATTTTTGTCTCATACGACTGATACTTTTATGGATTGTTTTAGATCTCGAAAATTATACATTTTTCACTGAAGAAAAATGAGTTTTCACTTATTTGAAAAAAACATTGTTGTCCTTCATAGGGAGATTTTAATGCTAAGTTCGAATATATTTTAATCAAAACCTGTCTTCTATCAACGTAAATCGATTCATTTCGGAAGAATATGCTCGTTCTCAAAAAGACTGTATGAGCTATTCAAGACAACATAATTCGATCAAGATTTTTATAATTATTAATCCATAAACATACGAATCCTTTGAAAAGTGATATAATTTTGTTTCGATGTATTTATTACACACAGATTACGTCATATTTGAGGTTTTCATAAAGTTCTTTTTGCGGGAGAATAAGTGTTATTATTTTATTGAAAAAATCCATTATCATCAACATTTATAGTCGTTACATTAGTTAGATTTGTAAATCTTTATTAGTTTCGAATGTCATTCATTTTTAGTTTTAGGTAATAGATTTAAATTGAACTTGCGCATTTGAACATGTTTATTAAGTAAATGTGTTTTGAACTTAACTTCATGATTAAGTCTTTTAAGTGCCTAACATTGTTCATCAATTGTTATATGAAACGAATGCATTGATGTTTACTTTTGAAGCAACGCATTCATTCCTCACGTTACTAGAAATCAACCAAATATTTTTATTTTTTCATTTGTATCAATCTAACTATGTAATATGTAGAAAAAGAATCAATATGATGAAAATGATCATATATCTTTTTTCTTAGAAAAATGTTGCATAAAATTTTAAATAATAACTGCTTGAAGAAGAGAAAAACATATTTTCTCATCTTAACCCAATGCCAACTATATGATAGTCACGATTAATGCAAACTGAATCTTGACTGATGATGCCACAATTGTATCGCTATGGCGTGGATAAGGCATAGATGATCTGTCCATCCACATTCCATATGATCTATTGTATTATGTCTAGGTGAAATTGATAAATACATAGTACAAGATTTATATAATTTCGAAGTTAATCATCAGTTCTTGAATCAAAAAGAAACGTCGTATTTGGAAAAAAATTTAAAAAATGAAATATTCCATTGAATTGAATCAGATTATTTTAAACTGAAAAATATGTTAACTATGGCATCGATTATATTGATAAATCTGTCAAGACTAAGTTGATATCAATTAGGTTTCATAATTCGATTAAAATAAATCAGAAGAATTTTTTTGAGTAAAATAATTAAGTAAAAGAAAAAATAAAAATAAAAATGATACAGAATGATAATTACTATTTGACTTTCCAAAAAGTTTTTGATCCCATTCTTTTCTTAAGACTTGTCGTGCTAATTGACATTCACGTGCTTCCCATTCATTACTACACATGATTAAAATTAATTCTTCTGGATCATCTTTACATATATATTCAATTTGATAATTTCGAACAATAGTTTCTAAAGTAATTAAACTATTTTCACCGCATTTTTCACTAAAAACAACAAGCAAAAAAAACTATAAATGAATTCATGTTTTGTTTAACTTACACAACTTTTCGATCAGGTGAATGTAAAAGTAAAACATTTAGTTTTGTTACTCGATATTGACCTGTTCGTTGAAGATTTGGCAATTCATATTTTGCAAAATAAGAATTATTACGAAATGATGCGTGATCATTACTTTGACTTCCATTTAAAACGAGATAAATTTCACCAGCAGCTTTTTGTGCAAACTAAAAATTGAAATTAATTAAGAATAATTTAGATGTTTCTTCTTTTTAAATATTATTTTACCGTTTTTGATGCAACACCCCAAAAAGCATCATCAGCCCAAAGATTATCTTCACAATTATTTGGACAGCTGACATAATCAAAACCTTCACTATCATTATCTTTTCCACACCATGTTAAACCACTAACCATAGCTGCTGCTAGCGTATCTTCTAGTGTTATATAATTAATACCATGATTACTATATGTATGAGCCACAGCATATGTACCACTCCAAAACATTGCCTTTCAATACAAAAACAAAACAAAAAACAATAATTATTTAATATTTATTAAAATAATCTTTACTTTATCAATCACTTGTATACCATCAAATGAGTGTTGAAAATAATTTTCATATGTACTTAAATTCATACTACAATATGGTTTATAACGAATAGCTGATTCAAATAATTCATAAAGGTTTGTACAATTTGTTATCTCACAAAAAAAAAAAGACAAAAGAAAAGAAAAGTTTGATTTAGAAATATTCTTATTTACGTTCTATTTAATAAATAAAAACCACGTTTTACATATTGATATTCATAACAACGACCAATCATTATATCTTTGAGACCACATGTTGTTCCATTTGTTTTTATATATAAACCATTGCAAGGATTTGTTTCGTTGATTTCAGAAACTATTTTCATTTCATTTTGATTGTTAGTAATATTTCGAGTTGGTCGACTAAATAGTTGATTATCAAGATAAATGCCACTTAGATTAGAAATCATTCAAAAAATGTATAATCCATTTCTAGAATATTTCTTTTTTTATTATTCTAAGAATGAAGATCGTTCATTTAGATTCGCTAATTAAATTTTAAAGTAGATTTATTCAGTTTTATTCAGCAAGACATCTTCACTATTATTAAATCAATACATACTACTTAGATAAATATTAACAAAGTATGAACTCAGACGATACTTAGATCTAAAAACCAATAGATCGTAAGTAATTAACATCCAATTTATTGCTGAGGCATAAACGATGGCTAAATTTTGCATTTTATATTTTCATCACTCAATACATTTTATTTAAAAAAAAACGAAAATACACTACAAGATACTGCGTGCAAAGTTTTCTAATTTATCTGTTATTGTTAATGAAATGCATCAAATTATCTTCAGACTATGCTAATGATTTTCTATCCGTATACCGTTGTCTTCTCAACAGATGAAATTATCGTCCAACATCCATTTACTTTCAGATTGCATATGTGGAAGAACAATTTTCAATCTCATTGGAGACCTGAAGTTGTCTTTAAAAGTTTCAAACCATATTAGAATCTAATGAAAATCGTTTTTTTTCCTTGTCAGTTTTAGAATATTTTACGTTGCGTCTGTTGGTAAGTTTTTGTATTTTTTATACAATGTATCAAGTAAGGAAAGTATGAAACGTAAAATACGACCATTCAATATGTCATGCTCCTTATCTGTAAAAAAATTAGATACATGGGGATTTTTTTGCATATATTAATTCAATAATAAGTCAAAAGGACTTACCCATACGAACTTTTAGCTATAGTGTCAGAAAATTCTCCTGACGAGCAAAACAACTATGAGGGAAATACAGTGTTATCATCTGGGTTTTTGGTTGAAAAAGCAATTCTTTCGTGGAGTCATTTTTACAGTTACAGGCTAAAAACAAAGCTTGATTTACTTTAGAATAGCCTAGTACTCATATTTGTGTTTAATANTCACGCTGCATCTTACAGTATATTTTTTTTTTTTTTACGAAAACATATTAATTGATAAAAAGATGACATAAGGAAAAAGGAATTTCTTGCTCGCATAGAAAAAAAGTATGCTTGCGCAGCGTAGAAAATTGGACATACAGAATTTTGCTTTTTTTGAAAACAAAAGTACACAATTGAAATAAGCTTTACTTTGTAGATTATAGAGCTTTTCACGCTGCATCTTGTGGTACATTTTATTTTTTTTTTTACAAATGCAGATTAAGTGATAAAAAGATGAGATCAGATGAGATCAGAAAAAATGATTTTTTCGCAGCGTCGAAAATTGGTCGCACACAATTTTGCTTTTTTTGAAAACAAAAAGTACAGAATTAAAATAAGATTTACTTTGTAAATTGCAGTTCTTTTCACGCTGCATCTCCTGGTATATTTTGTTTTTTTAAAACAATGTATTAAGTGATGCAAAAATGAAATGGAAAAAGGCTGTTTTTTTTGCCCGAGGGAGAGTATTAACTCGATGTTTTTTTCATTTTTAGATACGTAGAAATTGCTATTAATTTTGCAAATCACAAAACATGCATTTCTTTCATTGTTTATTATTAAAATACAAGATACACATTTAAATAATGTGCACAATAATAAAATCCGTCATTGTTAATAAACAAGTTTAAAAAACAGTGAATTTCAATGAAGAATGTCAACATGTTTGTTTTTCTTTCCAATATAAAATGTCGTAGTTCAAAATTTTACAGAATGTTGGTATTACAATTGATTTACTTCGACAAACAATTAACGATAGAATTGAGAAAAAAAAAGAAGACGATCAAAGGGAGTTAGTTATTTTTCCTGTTCGTTTTATATTAGTCAACATTTTTATGAAAGCAACTTCGAAGTTTACAAGAATAAATATTGAATAATGAGTCATGAATTTTTGTAAAAGAAAGAAAAGAGTATGATTTTTCTTTTTCTTTTCTTCCGTCAATTCATCAAAGCTACAACAGCTAGTATGTCAGTTTAATTCCCACTCTGCATCTGTCTTTTTTGCTTGCCTCAATATTGACGAATACCCTTTATACAAATATAACTAAGATAAAAGAACATAGTAAAAAAAATGCATTCGTTTAGTTTTTTTACATGATAGGTTTTCATTTGATATCGATGATGAAACGATTAATGATAGAAAAATAAAAGAATTTGTTGTTATTGAATGAATAATATCAGAATCTGATATTGAATTGAATCGAAGCTAAAAATAATTTTTCTAATTAATCCACCTAAAGTTCCTTTTTTATGATTATCTTTTATTTGAGTGTTGTGAAAAGAGCGTACTATCGAATAATATAATGTTGTTACTAAGAAATGTAAAAATACCTTTGAGACCATTCGTTAAGTGATGTTCCGGAAAGTTGCAGAAAAAAGAATGAAAACGAGCGAGTATCAGGTACACTTGCACATTCGGACATGTATTACGATCTATTTTTGTTTTGAATTTTTTCTTCAAGGTTTTTTTTTAAATATTTTCGAAAAAAAACAGCTGATCAGAACTCTATAGCATATCATATACTGACGAACAATCTATATGGAACATATATATCTTTTGTCTGAATAAAAGCAAAAAAAATAGAACAGTATGAAGAACGATATTCTTTTCAGCTATGATTTGTCAGTTAACAGCATCTATCATTCTCCAACTGATATGCACTTTTTTCATTAATCATTCATTATTCTTTTTGCCAAGTAAGTATTTTTTTTCTTTTTATATTGTTCTTAGTAGAGTACTGTGTATTTAAAAGCAAAAGACTCTAACTCTTGCAACAGATTCTATTGTGGATTTCACTTCTATTTTTGAAAAATAATGCTAAGTGTAAACTTAATTCAAAGTTTTCAGACTTCCTCCCTCATATTAGAGGTCGTTGAGTTGGTCGCAGACCCAGACTAACTCGGGTTCGGGTTGGAAAAAGTTTCATCGCGTTTGAATCCGAAAATTTTGGACCCGACGAGCTCTAGACTCTAGGAACGAAAAAAAGCGCGTCACTAATAACAATGTTTAGATCATTCAGAAACTTTCTAGAGTCTTCCAAAGCATTCTATGAATCTAAGACTCCTACTGCAGATTCTAACTAGTCTAAATCTTTAAGGTTTAGGTATTTAATGCAGTGAAAGGAATGAAAATGAAAAACAAAAACTAATGCAATTCTAACTTTAGATAAAATGCAACAAAATATATGTCAAAGTTCGTCAAAAGAAAGGATATCATGCTCAGAAGTTTACTGAAACGACATTAATCGTATATATTATCATTGGAAAAAAAGAAGTTATGTATTGAATATGCATCTGCCAATACAAAAATGAGTTTCTTTTCTTTTTTTTCAGTATAAAAATGTTAAATGAATCTAATCAATTGTTAGAATGGAAATTCTAAATGAAAATATTTATTTGGCATTTCCTTAAATGAAACCGCATTCATAATTTTATTTTAAAATATATGCGTTATTTTATTTATAAAATTTATTCAGAAGGATAGATTTGACTGTCATCATGTTGTTAAATGCTATTAAAAATACTATTAGATCAAATAAGATCTTTAATCATCAGATGATTTTCTATTTATTAGTTGTCGACTATTATAACATATCTGCATCTTCAAAACATGAACTTCCCAGTTTGCTACCGAAGATAGAAAAGTTTTTGTATATTTCATAAGAGATTATGATCATCACATAAGTCAGGCAGTCTATTTTATTTTAAACTCTTTTCAGAAATTCAGTTATTTACACTGAAGATGATAAAATTTGAACGATTACTTGCGAAAGTTGAATAAAAAAAATGCGAACTATATCGTAAGAAAAATCTCGAAAGCCCTAAAAGGTTATTCACTGTTCGCAGAAATGAATTAAATATTACAAACGTAGGAGAGATACACCTTTTTGCAGACACTTAAGTTACACAGCCACTGAATCTATCTGATGTAAAGACTTAACATTCTATTTGTTTTGATAATAAAAAGAAAGGTAAAGAATGTACTAAAAGAAATAACATAACCACTTGTTTTTCTTAAATATTAATATTTAAATTATGTTTATCATGTCATTTTTTAGTTTAAATAAATAGCGGTGAATGTAGCGACATTATTTTGATAAAGTCAATGTTAGTTATTTCATTGGTTGATGAGCTATGGTCGTCATTCGTTACTTGCACAATCATTTGTTATTGAGTGAAAAATCCAACAATATAATTTTTGTTTTTTCTCTCTCTACTTAAATTTCGCTGTTGCATTTTACCTATTTGCATTAGTCAAATTCATTTTTTCTCTTCGCATACCCAGTAAAAAGTAAGTTTTTATTATATCGTCTTGCTTTGTAAATAGTCATGTTTTATTTGAAAAAATCTATTCATACCATCAATAAAAATATCCCAATTAATAATATATATATATATTCAAATATATATTAAATTCTATAGAGTCCAATATTGAAAAAAACAAACATGATTCGATGAATATTAACAGGTATTTCTTTTTTTTTTTTTTTCAGACCAAGAAATTAAAAATGGCAGGAGTACAAACAAAACGTATATTAACTGAAATAACAAAATTACAAGGCCTAGCAGCAGATAATAATGCATCATCTGTTCAATTTCTTCTTGATAAAACACCAACGGACAATTCAGCATCAAATATAATTCTTGGAAGAATTTTACCTAAATCACAAATTTATAATCAAGCTGCATTTCAAATAGAAATAAAATTACCAGCTGAATATCCATTTAAACCACCTGAAGTTCGTTTTATTACACCTATTTATCATCCAAATGTTGGCGATGACGGTAAAATATGTATTGATATGCTCAATTCGGGAGAAAGTTTCAAACCAACAACATCATTAGTTGATATTGTTAAAGCTGTTGTTGATCGTATCGATAATCCAGATCTCGATCATGCACTTAAACCAGGTAATTTTGTAAACTTATTATTATTTCGTTTTTGAAATAATTTTTGTTTTTGTTTTAAAGAAACTGGTGCTGAATATTCACAAAATAGAGCTGCATTCGATCGTAAAGCATTAGAATTGGTTAAAAAACATGGTCTACCACGGCATTAGGCTTAAATATTTATAATTATCATAGACTTCAGTTTTTTAATGTCATTTTTTTTTTTCTAAAAAAAACAAACCATTATTATTCCATGCTAATTTGTGCGAAAGAAATTTATCTTTGTTTCGTCTGCGTCTGTTTTTTTTTCTAATATGCAAATTAAAGATCAGTATTCTATTTTTACTGTTCTGTAATAAGAAAAATTAATAAACGGCAAAAAAAAAAAAAAAGAAAAATACGTCATATGACGTTTTCTTGTTGTTTTGTATTGTTTGTTGGCAAAGGATGAATTTTGATTTATTTTTTGTTTGAAAATTTTTGCATGACTGACAAGGTTAGAACCCATTGAATTGGTTCCAGAGTCGAATAAGATCGAATTCAGGTCTGAAAATATTGGCGCTGACGAGCTCTAGACGAAGAAATCTGTTCGGATGTCAAATCGCTTTTCGATATTAATGACAACAAGCACTAGTATTTCCTTTCTAAAGATGTAAATATATGAATAAAATTTGCTTTTGTACGTGAGAAAGTTTCGAATATTGAATATATTAAGGATAGGAGATATTAGAAAAGTTTAAAGTCAAACAAACTATTCAAAACTTTTCTATTACTCACCAAATGAATATTGTATAGAGTTTTCTTTTCGAGAAAATTTGAGATCTGTTATTATCATATCTCTTCAATTGTATATAATTCGTTTATAGAAATTCATTTGATTATTTTTCATTGAAAATTTATTAATTAAATAATCAAACTATTCATTGTCTTTTTAGATGGCATCAAAACAGATACGTCTATTAAAAGATCTTGCTCATATTGATGAATCATTTCAATTGAATCATCTTTTTTCTATTAAGAAAAAACTTGATGCATCAACATGTGATGCTATTCATGAAACAGATTTAACACATCCAATATTTGTTTATACACCACAACAATCTCCTTATATGGGTGGTGAATTTGAATTAGAAATAAATTTACCACTTGATTATCCATCAACAACACCACGTGTTAAATTTCGTACACCTATTTATAGTCCTATTGTCGATGAATCAGGAATAATATCATGTTTACCTATACTTCAACGTTGGCAATTATATCCAATACATTCAGTTGGTCTATATGATATACTTACTGAAATTGATTATTATATAACACATTTAGAAGATGTTGATGAACCTCATCGACCAACATTACTTACTGAATGGAAAGAAGATCTTTCATTATTCACTAAATCAGCTGAACAACAAACAAAAGAATTAGCTAAACCACAAAAGAGATAAACAAAATCAATTAGATTTCATGAACTTCTTTCTTCTATATTCTAGTCAATAGTCATCATTGTTTTTTTTTAATACTTATTTGATGTTGTATTGTACGTATTGTATATTTCTAGATGAATGAGCAAATGGCAAATGCCACTGGTTCGTGGCGTGTTTTTGATGAAATTACATATAAGTATGAAAGATTTTTTTTCTTTATTGAAATTCTATGAAAAGAGTTTTTCGAATTTCTATTTCTATAAATCTAGCGAGAGAGAGCTGATGAGGGAATCTCTTCAAGTGTCAAATTGTTTTTCGATATTCATTTGATCAGTATTCATTAAATATGCGACTAGTATTTCCTTTCTCAAGACTTAAATAATATGAACAAAATTTACTTTTATACATGAGAGAATTTCGATATATTAAGTATTTCACAGTAGAAAATATTAGAGAGATTACAACTTGCCCAAATGAACTAATCTCATTGAGAATTCTGCTTCGTGGAGAGTTTGAAGTATTCAAGACTTTTCTATTACTCATCAATTAAATATCAAAAAGTGATTTGACATTCGAAGAGATTCTCTTGTAAGTTTAGATAGATAGTATTTTTTTTCGAGCACTTATTTTTATTTTATAGGAAAACAGAAACAAGTACAATCGCTGATTATTCATCTCAATTTCGAGATCCTACGAGTACAACTAGTGCAACAATTAAACCATATGTTGCTATGGCTCCATGTGGAGGACCTATTGGTAAGTATTCATTAGTTTTTTTTATTCGTATGATTACAAGAAAAAAATTCATATAAATATATATTATTTAAATAGCTTTTGTATATAAAAAGTTGGGAATAGGACCAAATGATGTTAAATATACAATTATTATACAAAATTTACCCAAACATAATGTTAAACTAAAAGAAGTGAGAAAAATATTATTACAATCATTATTTATTTTATTCATTGAATTTATGTTTTAGTTTGATCGAGGTATACTTATACTTGTTGATTGGACAATTAATGAGGATTTATTATTGGTAACTGAAGATGGTAAATATCATATTATTGATATATTTCATTATAATGCAAGTAATGATAAATCAATTACACTTAGTGAGGTAATTATTATTATTTAATGACTTGAAAATACATCTAGAGGATCAATTTGATTCAAACCGGACAGAAACCGTCGATAGTGCGAACATACGCGCAACATAAAGAGTTAACGAATAAATAAAATGTCCTGTAAAACGGTATTATTACGCATTTTTGTCGTAATGTAGAAGTTGGATAATGTAAATAAATGAATACTAATAGTAAACAGTTAATCAAATAAATATTATCTTTTAAAACAAAATAACGAATTTTGTACGAAAATCTTTTGAAACTTAGAATATATGTGTAATTAATTATTCACCAAAAAATCAGAGAATTAACATACAGGAAAATGATTGATGATGCAATGATGACAAATAATCCATAGGCTTTCATCATATGACTTTTTTGAGTCAGAGAATTTCAATATGATTCATAGGAATCTGACAGAATAAGTTTTATTTTTCAAACAATTTTTCTTTTATAATTCTAGTTGACTATTTAAAATCATCGTTTAATTTTGACGAGCTTAAAAATACCTTAAAAAAAAGTAAAATTCCAATTAACAAACATTCTATCAGTTAGGATAAAATCCTTAACCTTCATATTATCATCTGAGATCTGCGAGAACACTAGTCGATTTATTTGTAATGTTATAGATACATAACGTTGGATCGAACTTCGTTCTTTTATATTGTACCACAGCGAAAAGTAGTAGAATATACTGATAAGAGTAGTCTATAAGAGTCAGTTATTGCTAAGTCAATATAATAGATCAAAGTACATTATAATACTGAGTTTGTGATAAATAGTTGAAAGAATATTGAAAATACAGAATAACAACAAAAAAAAAAATTTTAACAATTCAGCATGACCAGTCATCTACACATGAGAAGGGTTCAAACTTAAAAGTGCAGAAAGCTGAGTCTATCATTTAAAGAACAACAATCAATAGTATCTGAAATGACAGCGTTTCTATTTCTGAGCAATATTGAGTACTTTCAACACGCGAAATTCTTTCTTAGAATGTATAACTCAAAGCTTTGTATAAAAGATAGTAGTGGAATATGGCATCAAACAAGGATCGATTAGCACAAAATAAATTCTTATGAACATCGTACAAATATTAGATGTCTATGAGCGAGGCTAATATGTTCCAAAACTATCTCTATTTTTGATGAAATTCGCTAATATTGATGATTTTTACAACCAAAAAACGATGCTCTCACATAAAACTCAATAGTCTCTACCGAACACATCCGTTCTGAGTGCAGTTTGATTTAATATTCACATTCGTTTTGTCTTGATTTTGTTCATAATTATGTATATATTTAGACTGAGCATCAAATTCTGGACAAAATGAGATCTTTTATTAATCAAAACTTTTACTTTTATTTTTTTTCGGATCGAAAAAGTTGACATTTTTTTTTGTTCGTTGGATTCTAATGAAAAATACAGCATTTAATGAAGACTTCGATAGTGGTGACAAATATCTGATTATTGTTAAATTTTTTACTTTCATCCTTATCCAAACTGTAATTATCGGAATAAAAATGAAATGCCGTAACGTTTAGTTACGCTGAAAAAAAACAATTCAAATCAATTGTTTTTCTGTTAAGTTTCTGTACAGTCAACATTTCTTCATAGTCTTCACACTTCGATTACAGTCTAATAGTAATTTCATACTATTACGATTTGAACAAGCTGATGTTTGCTTTGATTGTAAATAATTTGAGTTTTTCTTTTTTCTTAATTTTAGTCTGTATCAACAATAACCAGTGCATGTACATTCAAAACAAATTCCGGAACAGGATTAGTAGCATTAAGAAAAAATCAAGAAGGTTTTGTAGCTGTAAAAAATGTTTACATTCCAATTATTCAAACAATATCACTTGGTAGAAATATCTTAGTGTATTTTTTTTTTTAAATCATAACTTTATTCTTTATTTTTTCAATGTTTATAGCTGTAGATACTCGTTCGGTAATATCAGCATGGTGTATTATTGATCAGACTAAAATTAAGAAAAAAGAAAAACTCAAATTATTTACAATCAAAGCAAACATCAGCTTGTTCAAATCGTAATAGTATGAAATTACTATTNTAAAATATACAAGTAGTAATGATAAAAATAAAATAACTGATATTGCTTGGTAAGATAGAAATTTTAGAAAAACAAATAAAATATCAGCATGGTGTATTATTGATCATGCTGATATAACACTTGCTTATGCCTATGAAAATATTATAGTAACATGCAGTGCTATATCATCACGACGAGATTCAGTATTAAAATAATTTATTTTTCTGAATTTCTCTTTTATTTGTCTTATTTTTTTCCTAGCAAACAATTCCTGGTATTACTGATACAATAGTTAAATTAGTATCAAGTAGTAATTATAAAAATATTGCTATGTTAAAAGATAATGGTGATGTATTAATTGGATTCAAAGATAATCTTGGACAACCACAAGCATTTACATTAAAATATACAAGTAGTAATGATAAAAATAAAATAACTGATATTGCTTGGTAAGATAGAAATTTTAGAAAAACAAATAAAATATTTCAATGTGAAGTTTATTTAAAGGTGTGGATCAGATACGGTTATTGGAACTCGATCAAGTTCAAAAACTTGGTTTGATTTACTTATTATTAATGGAAAACATTCACAACCAATGACGTTCGTATTATTTTGTTTGTCTTTTAATTTTAATTTTGTATTTTTTGCAGTGAAAAAAGTCGACAAGCAATTACCAATGATACGTTAGTATTAGAATATTTTTTTTATCATTTATAATAGAGAAGAATTCAATAAATTAAAATTTCGTCTTATCACAAGATTGTGAACATGAGTGTATTGAAGCGAAGACCTACACCACGTCCATTCAAGTATTACTGGAGCAGCTGATACCCTCCCTCTTAATTACATAATCATTAGAAACAAATGATATGCAAGAGCTCAGACACTAATCAAATCCCAAGATAAGAAACGAAAGATATATTCAGTAAGAGAAGTATAAATTTGAGACCAATAAGATCAGTCTCAATTACGCACAATGAAGTTCTTCAGTATAGTTATTCTTCGAACCAGTATTTCATATCAGAGCTGAGCACAGAACAGAACAATTCTGCTGCTCGCCAGAACGGAATAAGTCAGCAAGATAGAATAGGACAAAAAATTGTCCTGTGCCTAACTCTGCTTCATATCCATTTGAGTTAAGGACTTTCTCACCTCAAAAATCGATTTTTGATGCAGCACATAGGATCTCTCTGAAACTTTCTATACAGTAGAATTAGGAATTGTTTTATTTGAAAGAGAACTGTTTGCCATTTTAGATGAGGCGAAGAAGCTTTTTATTGTTGCTCTTTTTAAATTTTAAGGGCATTAAAATCTTTAAAATACATTAGAGATTTTCTAGACAACTAAAGTCTACTTAAAAACTTCTTTTCCCTCATCCGAATGAATATCAAGTGTTCCAATGAGCAAAAAACCTGGGACCCTGTATAAATGAACTAAATTTGAAAAAAAATTGTATGGAGTTTGATCATCAGCGCAAAACTTTGTTTTGAGAAAATCTTCTAAAAAATCTTCAAGATTTAGTAATATATTTATGTATCTGTAAAGTAGGTATTTCAGACCACATACTCGTATAGCTGCATCAGAAATCATCCTTTTTGACACAAAATCGACTTTTTAGAGAGGAAAACCGTAAGTCGTACCATTGTTAAACCGATCTAGAAAATAGTTTCTCGTCTCACCATCTATGGGAGACTTATTATTTACCTCAGTATAATAGTGTAGTCTCTGAATGATCCCTTTACAGTTTGTTGGGTTGATATTTCATTTTTTCTAAATCAAAAGAAAAAAAAAACGATGTCTATATTGTTCAACTATCTGTATGAGTTGAGTATGAGTGAAGTCTAGTGCCTGTCGAGTTAGTTCCGAGCCCGAGCAGCTCCAAGTTCGAAAATTTTTAATCCAACGAGCTTCAATGGGAGGTCGGGAATAAGTATTAAAAGTTGTATCTGAGCAATATTCTATTTTTAATATGATAAATATTATCTTCGTAGTATATTGTCAAATGTATGGCTTTTCAATTTAGTCTTTGTTATACTTCACCTGTATGGTTGTCGACTGAAATCGATGGTGTTCGAATAATATCTGGTCGAACACTTGATTTTTTTCAACGATTACCAGATGAAGTTTTTAATATTTTTGATCTTCTATCTACTACTCCAGGTGCGAAACTTTATTCAGCTTATATGGAATATAAAGTAAGATATAATTCAATGAATTCAATTAATAGGATACAATTTTTTCGTAGTATGAAAATCAAATGTCTGAAATGTTACTTAATGAATTAAAAACATCTGGATCAAAATATGGACTTGAAGACGCTGTTAAAGAATGTATATCAGCAGCATCAAATGAACATGATTCATCTATTCAAAAACTTTTACTTAAAGTAAAAGATATTCTTTTTATTTAACAAAAAGAAAAGACAAAAAGGATAATTTTTTTTTTCTATCACTTAAATGAATAGGCTGCACTCTTTGGTCGTGCATTCTTATGTGTTAATTTGAATAATCCTAAAAATTCTATTCGTCCAACTGTATCATTAATTAATGATTTATGCACAAATGTAATTCGTGATTTACGTTTAATTAATAATCTACAACATATTAATATTTCAATGCCAATTACATATAAAGAGTTACATATTAATTATAATTATTTTTAATAATTAATTTTATTTGTATAGATTTGAATTGATTGGTTCACGTGTTCTTATTGATCGTTTACTTCGTCGTAATTTACATGAATTTGCTACAAGTATAACAAAATTATTACGTATGCCTCCTGAGGAAGGAGAAAATCGTATTTTAGTACAATGGGCTGTTCAAGAAGTTAGTTTTAGAATATGTTTTAAATATTTTTCTGAAATACAATATAAAAGGAATGTTGAAGTATAGAGATAGAAACTTGGATCTATCATACACATGACAAATATCCTTAGCAACGTTTCACAGATCGTATGTCTATAATATCTCATTATAATGCTTGAACTACTTCCTTATTGCATTTCTCAAGGATTAAAGAGGAAAGTTCTTCAAATGATAGATCACTTTTGAGTCGAGACTATGTACATTATGTAGATCCAAATGAGCTATAAATATCTTGAGGAAAGTTTGTGTCCTTAGTTTACTGCTGCAGAAATATTACAGTTTTGGAGTTTCTTTTAAATGTATGCTGTAGTAACAGAAAAATTAATTTTCGATTTTCGGCTTTAAACTTTGCATAAAGATAGACGTCAATGAGATTAGTTTTTTGTGCATGTTTCATATCTTATCTCAGTTCTTATCCTAAGATATAACTATGATAATAGCATGTCTTTTATATCGCTCATATAAAACCAGCATATTTAATGTTCGTATTTCAGGATAAAAGAACGTCAAAAGACTCGAAACTTTGGCAATAAACTACTCTCGTTAAGACCTACCACTTTGGAAGGTTTCAAGTCAAAAGTTAGTTCTTCTTGTCACTGGGACAGAACTATGATTTTCATTTTAAAAATTATCATATGAGTACAGTATCTCCGTAGCAATACGCTAAGGGTGGTACGAACACTTTGCAAGGTATCTATAAAAGGATGGTGAAGAAATGTGTCTCAAAATAGACAGTATAAAATAATCTTTCTGTGACTGGCAACAGCAACTATTATCGACGCCAAAAAATAACTCAGACCAATGTTCGATAGTTATAAGATGTTTTCTGCGATTCTTAATTTCAGTCAATATGCCTGCAATCACCCGCAACAGTATTCAGATAGGGATAGTTCACTGTCTAGAGTCAAGTGGCAATATTTGTTTGTAGGTTCAAACTGATCTGACACTAGTATCTTAATAAAGCAAATATCACTATTTGACTCAGCATGACGAATTACTCCTGTCTACAACTTTTTCTGGGTGAAGATAGGCCAATTGGCTGAAATCGATGGTCTCAGAAAAAACCCTTATAACTTTTGAATGGAATAAGCTAGTGATATTGGTCTTGCATAGATCGAAAAAGATGGGTTTTTTCTATCGATTGGTCATTTTCATAAGTCTGCGTCAATAGTACATCATGTTTCGTATTTTTATCTTACAGGGATTGTGTTGACGGTTTATTCATTTATTTTTAGCTTGTTAATCCGTCGAATACAAATGAAGAAGCAATTGCAGATACAATTAAGACACGTCTTTCTGGTATACCTGGTATACCATTTATTGATATTATTGAAGAAGCATTTAAATTAAAAAAATTTACTGTTGTTAGACGAGTAAGATATATATATATATAGATAATTAACTTAAATAATAATTAAATATTTTATTTAGTTACTTGATGTTAAAATTAGTTTAAGTGCTCAAATTGATATATTATTAAAGTTAAATGATAAAGAAGAAGCTTTACAAAAAGCACTTTCTTGTGGTGATACTGATTTAGGTATTGAATTTTTTTTTTTGGTTATTTCTTTTTTGTTTAGTTGAAAATTTTCTTTTAGCTCTTTTTGTTCTTATGCGTATTAAATCAAGTGAACCTTTAAGCGATTATATGCTTCGATTACAACGATTGAAATCCTTACCATTAAAATTGCATTTACAAGTAAGAATTTATTCATATAATTTAAAATTAATAATATAAACTTCTTCTTCTCGATGAAGAGGAAGTAATTCTCTCTTCACTTCACTTCTCGTAAACAAAAGAAAAATTAATTATTTATTTACTTAAATTATTTCTTACTGTTCAAAATTTTTTAAAGATAAATCTATATAAAAAATATAGTTGAATTTTTAAATGACCATTAGATTCGATCTTGAATTCAAAAGTCAGTCTTGATTGAAATTGGCATTTCAACTTACGAGTAAATTACGATCATGTATGATTGTATATAATAACTAGTTGTTCAAGTCTAGAAGTATCAGTTTCTAGTTTCATTCATAGGAACACAAATCACATATTTGTAGATTACAACTCGTTATTATCTTTTGATCGTTTATCAGTCCAAAGAAACATAGATTCTCGTTTAAAAGAAAAAAGAATATGTGAGAGAGGGTCGAGCATGATTCTCTCTGAAACTTAACCACAGCTGACAATAAATAATAGTTCGTTTTCAAATTGGCAAGACATATACTTATTTCAAACACAAACTTAAGATTTAACAAGTTCGGATGTCGATATTTCTTGTATCTGCCACATATACGAATGTGCTTCGTTCAAGACGTTGCACCTGACTGTATGTTTCTTTATCTAAATCTGAGCTTAATTTCAATTAAACTTGACCAAAATATCACTGAGGATAAAGACCCAAATTGGGTCATCATCGTGAATAAAGCTAGATCAAAAAGTAATCGACGATAAGTAATACTATTATGCAATTGATATTTCGAACTTCCTAGTTTTAGCTTATTTGCAAAGAATTAATCGTTTGAAAGAATAACTGAAACTGAACGATGGATACATTCATGGCTACTAGCAATATCAGTTTCTTGTCCTGCTTCTAGGAACATTCACATCTCTATTTACGTTCATGGTGTATGTCGTCACATACTGTCATTTACGATCGTGCTTTCACAGCCTCGGTTGTTCCAAGTGATCGGCATCAACACTAAAATATGAAACCATTCGTATCGAAATATCTGTAGAAAATCAATGAATAAAACTTGTTCTGAGAATTCATTATGATCTCGTCATCGATTCTTATTTATAAAATCAACATGGTGCTTTGCATTAGAATTGATATAAAATTTCTTGTTGAGATGTAAATAAAAATCGATGATGAAATTATAATCCTCTTAGAACAAACTTTATGCATTGATTTTCTAAAAATGTTTCGAAACATATGACTGCATGCCTTAATGTTGATGCTGATCATTCGAAATAATAGTTATGGATGAAATAATATGAAATAAAATTCATGAGAATGTCCGAGGAAATTATAAAAATCCTGTGTGAATTGTTGAAGAGTTATGATGATATTATTTCACGGTAGACTTTTGAGACACCCTGTTTATTATGACTATTCTTCTTTGATTTGTAAAGTGTGATGATATTGGACTGACTTTTCGAGTAGAAGGAAATAGATGATCATCTAGAAAGCTTGTTTATTAAATGAAGAACATCAAGTTCAAGAGGTTACATTAAATCAATGATAGTAACTATGAAATGAATCATGTCTTTATAGATTAGTTTGAAAATATTTCTACCTAGATTATCAAAAAAAAATGGACATTTGCTTCTTAAGTCTGTACTTTGCAGCATAACCACTCTAAAAGATCAATCAATGTTGAACTTGCATCTTCGTCTCAAATATTCAAGTTTTTGTGGCTTTGAGCAACTTCCGGAAGTTTATCATTTTCTATAAAAATCAATATTTTCAATTTTGATGTCCTTCAGTAAGGTTATATTCATCAGAGAAAGGAACTATTTAACTTGTATGTGCTGAAGCCTAAAAAGTTCTTTGGATTTAAACTTGGATAATATGTGCCAGCAGCGTATTTCACTAGAATCTCTTCTAGAAAAAAAATTTTTTTTTTGTTGACATTTTTAGACATGAGTGAAGAAATGATAGACCCACACTCACACTCTTTTATGTATAATATAGTAACCACGCTTAGTTCAAATAATGGGCTCCATTCATGTCCTGGATCTTGACATGGTCTTTCAAATAAAAACATCTTTTGGTCAGAATCGAGCTCGTTTGAAAATTTTGAGATGCATGATCAGAAAAAAACATAAACAGAGAAAAAGCGAAAAAGATTTTTCACTTTATCTGAAGAAATTATATTTTTCCAGGCAGAAAATGATGCAAATTTTTGAAAACAACGATGTCCCAAAATAAAATTGACTTTTTTATCAATGGAGACTTAAACACATAATATCTGTAAGAATTAAATTAGAAACATATTGTATAATAAAGTAATATCTTATACCTTCGATATGTCTAACTTACTTTCTTTATAGTGCTTGGAAGAACTTGAACGAAATAATTTTCATTCTGAATTAATTAAACGAAATCCTGATGAACGAGAACGTATTGCTTATTCACATATTATTCAACGATTTACAACTGCACTTGTAAGTTATATCAAAAGATTTTAATGAAAATGGTGACTTATCTTGAACCAAGATACCAGGTGTGTGGTTTTGCACAGCGATTTATTGTACATCGAGTAGTATATAAGAAATCAAGTTTTCATTTGATGAGTCCATATACTGATTATGATTCTTGAGAATTTCTTACCATAGTCATAGAAGTTATAGTCCCTTAAATGTCATAAGATAAAATTATGCAAATTTTATTTCTAAAGTCACTTCGATACGGTGACAGATACTCTTCGATATTCAATAGTTAATAGTTTTCATTGTTGTTTGCTTCATACTTAAAACTGGTGTCTTTTCTTAGTCTTACGAGGTCACATATGTAAGTGTAAAATCGATTTTGAGTCGGGACTATGTGCATCATGTAGGCGTTAGTGAGACTAGAAAAAGCCCAAAAGGATAAGGGCTGCTAGACCTATCTTCCCGAGTTATGACCGTTTTATTGAATTTTTTACCCAATGCAAGGTACTTCGAGGCAAATCAAAGGAAGGAATTTTGAGCAGAAATTTTGCCCATAAGTAGGCCTAATGATCCCNTCTTGGACTGCTCGTTTAAATCGTCTTTTAAAAAATGGTGGAGGTTATTTAAAAAAATAAATATATGTCATCTTGTACAGCTTAAAAAGACCTATCTTTTGAAAAAAAAATTAACCTTGAACAAACCAGATTTGATGGATATATCAGTAAAATACTGAGAGGCTCATTATTCCTGGGACACCCGTTAATATGGTAGAAAAGTATTTAGTACCTGAGAGACAAAAACAATAGATTATTCTCTGATGGCGACCATTTCTACTAATGATCTCTCATATATCGGTCTATAAGAGATAATCAACAATATCAATAGACTTATACACCACACATTTGGAAAGATGCATTACAAATCGAATTTCTCAAATTAGTATTATTTTTATTGAGTCGCGAATAGGTAGTCCATTCAGATTACAAATATTCTGCTCATATGTGACTTAGTCCATTTGAGATTTGAAAATAAAGAAGGAAAGTTATGCTAGCAAAGCCAATTTTACGAAAAATATTGTAATTTAATTGATGACAAGGCGGCAGAATTGGTGTCATTTTCTTACCGAGCTTATAGTTGAAAAAAGATTTATAATTGTTTTTCTTTACAATAGAAAAGTTCAGCGTTTAAGCAAATCCGCAACAACAAGGCTTGTTGATCATATGGAGAAATGTAACAATATGAGTTCAAGCGATGAAGAGAAATCTGACCTTGAAGATGAAGACAGCAAAATTGACCACCAATCTAAAAACAAGAAAAATGACCAAACAAATATACAAAATTTTGCATCACCTACTAGTCTTTTTCGTATCGTTACTCGGTTAAATGGACGATACTCACTTTCCAAGATGAGAAGAGATGAAGAAATACGATCCCAAGTCATGACTATATCATTAGACAGTTCAGAGACTCTTGATTTGCCAACAATGACAGACGATTCGGATGATGAGAATTATGATGATGATAATGATGTGCAAGTTCCAGATTCTGTTATTAAAACTGACGAACAGAAAAGTATTGATGATAATTTAAGTGGTATTCGTCAAAAAACATTAGAATTCGATCAAAACCAAATCAAAGGAATTCAATTTGCAAATGCAGGCGATAGAAATTTGAAGATTGTGAATAATCATGCAATCAATTCGACTACATGTAGTATCACTTGATCATCTCTATAGGCAACTTTTAAATTTCTACGATCAAAACACAAAGATCATGTAAATTTTGAAAAATCAATGTCCAAACTTTCAATTCTCTTAATTAAAATTCATTAGACTGAATTTCAGTTCTTACTATTCTGTTGAAGTTTGAATAAAACGTAGCAAGAAGAATCGGATTGATGTTGTATCTTCTAAATTGCCAAACATCTGTGGGTGTGGATGTTCAAATAAATAATACTCGCACCCACAGTTTCAATTATTTCTGACAAAAGTTTAATATGAAACTATTGCTTGAAAACAGATCATTGCTTTTCGAATATTTCAACATTTTCAATTTATTGTTTTCCACGTCGTTGTAAGCAACATAAATAAACATATATATATATATATGACTTGTTTCTAAACAACAAAACGACGTAGGAGAAAATTAAAGATCGTTCGAATGACCGACAATAATAAAAATGATTATATTTTCATTTTGAGAAAGGATTGATTACATTAAACCAAACTCTGTCATTCGATGAAATCAAGTGAAACTGCGACAAAGTCCATCGAATGAATATTTTCATTACTATTCCATGATTCGTAAATATGCAAAATAACGATTTTCTGTATTGACTTTCTCACTTATATCCGCAGTCTCTCTGCTTTATAAAGTTGTGATTGATGGAAAAAATCTAAATGAATGTCTCAGCGTTGAGTCCAGTGAACATAGCGATATTTTATTAGCTGATTTAGTGGAGCATCTAGCGTTTAAATTTCTCATAGTTTCATTGCTTGTATTTGATCAGCGTTGAAATACTCCCTTACATGGCTGCCAATATAATTCTTTGTTCACATAGTGATTTTAATAAATTTGCTCTTCAGTAGTTGTAACATGACTGACTATAAAAGCAATCATGAATTATGTCCTATTTCAAAAATACGTGCAATGAAATGTCATAAACAAACCTGAACTCAGGGAATATAATTTGATTTACAATCAATTCCTGTCGTTGAACCTTTTTGTGTAAATTTCCGACTGATTTTATCTAGTAAACTGACTTTCGTATCACTTTCCATTATGATGTTAAATTGATCTACAAAAGCGAAATGAAACTTTATTTGTTGAAAGCTTAGAAGTGAATTAAGAAACATACGGCATTTACGTAAAAAGTATTGTTTCGATCTTCGTGTTTTTCCGGTAGAAAGCGTCTTGAAGGTTTTTTTATCAAAAATAAATAGATCTTTGTTGGAGTATATCAAAGTTTATTCCATATTGTTGTGCTGTTCGTTGATTTGATTCAGTGCATTTCTCTGATAACTATTTGGAAAATACGCGCAAAAAATTCTCAAAAATTCAGATGTTCACTTTTAAAAAGACGTACTAGGGGAGGTTCGTGTATTTCAACAAAAATCGTAGTCAAATAGTACTGAATGGAAAACATGTCAATCATCCATAGATGAACAAGAGAAAGCTGTAGTAGAAAAAATTTACTAGTTTTTGATATTTCGTCTAAATTTACATTCTTCTGAATCGCATTGAGCAAGATTAAATAACAAAGGATCATACTACTTTGTATTTGACAATGGAAACCATAAATGCAGTAGTAAACGACAATTGTAAATGTAGAGTAAGTTTTAGTCATAAATGATGACATTTCAGCAGAAAGTGTAAAAGACGTAATGATTTTCCCTTATTTTTAAAACTTAGCATAATACTATAATACATGTCCAACATTTTTTGAAAATTCTCTATATTTATACTCTTTCTCTATATTGTAATAAAATTAATCCGTAGATTAGTCATGAAACTGGAAGGATTAGAGATTTTCTTTGATTTAGAATAGAAATGTTTTCTCTTGCAGAACCTAATTCTGCTCAGAATATTTCAACAACAACAACATTGTTCTCGTCAGACTGCAAACAATGTATCGATGTCATAATAGGATTAAGCTGGATATCGAGAGCTAACCTTCAAAATACCGGAGGAGTAATCAAGTGAATTCACTTTCATGATATACAATTTACGAAAACGAGCAATGACTTCATTAACCCTTTCATAAACTATATATCCTAAAAGTTGAGTGATTGGAGTGGATTTGTTGTATTACTTCGGAGTAATGAGGTCGTTTACACCAAAACTACTCAAAACGCTCAACCTTAAAAGTACACAATTATTCATTGCACTGTCGAAGATCGTTTCCCTGTGTGTAATAACCTGCAACAGAGATATTTCTAGTCTCTTGTGAGCATATTTTATAGCGCTTGAATCGATGAAGTGATTACTTCAGAGTGTGTCCAGTAAAAGTAAAGAATTTTTACTCTTCTATAGTAACAAATTGAGTTCCCATAAGCTAGTTAATGAATAAAAATACTCTACTTCACAAAAATTCATAAATTAGTCTCAAGAAAAATCTCTTCAGAGAAACATTCTCATTAACAACTAGCACAAAACGACTTATACAAGTTAACCAAAATTTTCGGAGTTTTTCCTAGTCGAAGTGTAAAAATCAAACTCCACAGAGTCCTAAGTCAGATCTGACTATTAAATTTAACCTCCATAGTTTATTTTTTTCATATAGTTTTGAGTAGAATGGTGTGGGTATGAGTGTGTAAGTGACTCATTACTTTACCCACATCAACATTTTCTATCCAATATCAATAATCAAACAACAGCAGGCTGTCGACATTAGTAATAGGAAACATATGCAAATGATGATTAACTCTTGGCAAGCAAACCATATAACATGTACTCAAAACAATGTAGGTACATTGTGTGATGCTCTAATCGATATGTTTCTATATTCTCTTTGTGATCGGCATATTCGTATAATTAAAAGTGACTTTGATTGTATATCGGCATTTGCTACTCTACAAAATCATATTTTACTTTGAACTAAAATGATAAACCGATATGTTCATACGGGGATGAACAAGTGATATTTACCGAAACAGAACGCAGTATTCTGATATCTAGAGATTCTATTGAATTACAGGTATTTCAAAATAAAAGAATTGTTGCGATAATGCCAATTTGATGGAGCTAGTAGATCTTAGAATTTGCATAGGAATACAATAACAAAATGGAAGATAGTCTAAATGAGTCCGTTTTTTATCTTTTCATGTAAAAATTGAAGGGGTCTAGGAAAGATAAGCACGAGGAAATTTCAGCACGGATGAAGATCTCGGGCTTCGAAAAGAATAGAACTCCTCCAACCGTACCAAAACTTCAATCTACACCCACACTCACATATGCATTCTTGTACAGGCACAGTATCATCATCCAGTACTTAAAAGAGCGCTGTGCTGAAGTTTCCTCGTGCTTATCTTTCCGGTTCCCAAATTGAAGGACCCCCATCATCGAATCAAGATTCAGAATGAAACCAAATTCATTGAAGAAACAACAATAATTTTTATTGATAATCGATCTTGTCGAAATCAATCTTTAGTTGAACTTTCGAATTGCATATATTTAGTTTTCGGCCGTGTATGTAAAATCGTGAATGATCACTTCAACCTCTTGACCATTGATTGGTACACGACCTTGAAAGAGCCATAAGTTCATATGGATAGGACATGCTTTTTCGGGTACGGATCCAATGAATGATGATGGTGTTTGATACGAGAAGAAAACATTCGAATTTGGATCATCAGTATGACCGTGTTGACTTTGTAAATTAACTTGATTAGCCGACCAAGTAAATCGATGAGTTGTGTAAGTACCTTGAAGTAAGATTTTTGTGCCTGACGATACTTGAGTGTGACCATCTAGAGCGCGCGGATAGACTGTATAGAAAAAGTTATTTGCATTCGATGATGTTTGCCCCCATTTAGCTACTTAAATATCAATCTCGTTTGCTCCATCGGGTAAACCATAGGTAAAAAGACCCAATACTACATTTGGATCGAAGTTGTCAATAGCAGCTTCAATATGCCATTTAAAAGTACCATAGGTAAAACTTGTTTGACTATATAACTCGGCACATGTCCATCCATCATTCGATGATGAATAGGTCAGTTTAAGATGAAGCCGATCATTTGCATCGACCCATACATTGTTCGAACTCCAATTATTGGGACTTAAGGAATTCGATTGAAATTATTTTTGAATCGATTCAAAAAAAGATACTCATACCAGGACCACTGTTTTGTTGTTCGCGCAAGTACCATTGATAACCTTTCCAATTGATCGATGCTTGTGCATTACTTTGAGCTACTGTCAAACAAACCAAAATCAATAAACACACTTAAATAAATGTCATATCAACACTAACTTGAGATCAACACAATCACTATTAGAATTAACTTCATGAACGTAATATTGATAAACGAATATGAGTATTATTTGTACTAATCTAAAATTGAATAGTATGTAGTCTCGAACAGCTAGCTTTTTTTCATGAGATGAGTAATGAGGAAAATTATTGAAATATAACTATAACCAAGAAAATAGAAATTCTTAAACTCTTACTTCACTTTCACATCATTTATATTTCATATTTTCCTCGAGGTACAAATGAAATATAGCCTTTTCTCTCATGAAAATGAACATCATTACACGTTAGTCTACATAGACATATAGAAAAAAATTCTCCTACATCACAAACCCTGGTAATTGAAAGTGGAACAACGTGAATGGGTGTAGCGTTCAGCGCAGTGTTTATACAGTTAGCTACTGTATGTTGCAAGGTTCATATCCTCACATAAGTCATACGCTTTGTATAAGATGGATAGCGGTCAGATAAACAATTTGATTGAACAATACCGATACAGTGATAGCGTCATTTTGTTGGCTTGTGAGTTAGCACATAAAGAACATTTTGATTTCTTAAAACTACCGCCATTCGAATCTTAATTATAGCATTGCATTCTCAGCTTTTGTTAGTATTTGTAATTATATAACTGGAAAAAAATTCTTTATAATATCGTCAATTGTAATCATTAAAGTTACGACGCAACTTTAGTTTGGTGAAGGTGTGAATGTGCGTGCTAGTGCTTGCACAGGTGTACATGTTGTCCTCCAGCTGACACACATATACACCAACACTCACCCACATCCACATTCGAGATATTTATGATATAAAAAAGTAATTATGCACAGTGGATATTGTGTTCTGGTTCAATGCTATGCATCGAAAACAACGAAACGCATATATCGACGAAGTAGAACACAGAACAAAAATTTGTTGACTTTTTATTGATATACTATTACACTTGAACTCATTCAGTTTTTGTAGTACAGATATCAAGTATTATACTTCAGTTACAATTCAACTCATTTATATTGGCGATAAGATTTTACCCCTAGAAAAATACAATTTTCTTCCGCGAAATATTATTCTTTAGACTCACTTAATGGACTTGGTTCGGCATTTCGATATATTGTACCAATATCTCATTTAGGAATAAATTAGTTCCTTTGTATTGTGTATTTGAGTCCAAAAGATGAGAAAAAAAAGACATTCACTCATATACATTGCATTGTGGTTAACATATCTCGAATAGATGTTTAAGGAACATCAGTAAATTCTCTAATGCTATTAATATATGAGTTAACATGACATTCCATCAATCAAAGGACCAAATAACGAGGGTTACCTATTGAACTATGTTGTTTTACATAAAATCTATTTGAAGATCTATATCGTCGTAGAAGCTGTTATTCTCTATGTAATCAAATTTAAAAAAAATATTTTCATCACATGGTTATTTTTTGACAATATGCATTACAAAGAAAATACAAACCTGTTTGATATATTTTTTAAATCCCTCCAAATTCAATTTAAAAAATGCCACTCATTTTATAGAATCAGATCGAGTTACTTACATTAACAATTGGATATCAATGTCAATTTTCTATTGTGAAACAAAATTGCAAAATGAGTGATGAAGTTTAGAGTAACAAAAGTGAATCTCTTTTCAACTTGTTCCACAGGTACATGATAGGTATTTTGGCATGCTATTTTAGTGTTTTAACCAGGGATTTATTATTTTAATAACTATTGAGTTTCAATGTTTCGGTCAAAAAACTCAACAAGTTATGTCGATACGTCTGTTGTACGATGTTTGGTAGCAAGAAACGTTATGAGCAGATTGGTCTTTTCTTTCAAGTGTATTTCAAATTTTGATCTTGAAGGTATTCCGCTGAAAGTTCTTTTACAAAACAAAAATATGTATTTTCTGCTGAGGGTATAGATTGGGTGTAAGTGGGAGTATAGGTGCCAGTTAGTTGTAAATGTCTACTTCATGCAAACACTTGTCTTCACTCCGAGCTACAACTATACCCACCCCCATCCCTACTACTCTCGCTCTTCTAGCTCTCATGAACCAAAGTTTTCTGATGAGAAATATGAATACATAGAATCAATTTGTCTATGTCTGACTGAATATCAAATTGAGTGTCCTCGGTGATCAATACACTGAAATTCTACATTTAATGAAGAAAATTATCGAACATAATCTTAGACAAATTATAGTAGTGCGATGTGCTAATAAACATATATGGTGCATTGATCATTGCTACATTGCTACTTTATTCTTTATAGTCGGTATTGACGTTTATGTTGCTGGATGTGGGGTGGGTTTGGGTGTGAGGGAGTATATAGCAAGAGCTCCACATCACATCCTCAAGATTTAATATATTTCAAATCAATGAAGTTTTAAGAAATAAAAAGATTGGAGCAAATTTAATGGAAAACTCATGCTTAAATGCATATGTCTCATATATTCAAATGCCATGAAGATGACGAAATTTAATTGGACAGGAAAAAATGCGACATATTTTTTTCGTAAGAGTCAAAATAATCTATTATAGAAGTCATCGATCGATGTTTTTTATTTGTGAATATTCGTTGAATATCTTCATAAGATATTCAAATAGTCGGATCAATATTGCTATTTTGAGAAAGAATATAAAATGGCAATGCATGCAGTTGCCGTATATGAGTAGCTACATCATTGCTAAGATAAGTGCTAACGATAGTGTCAAATCCTTGAGTACTATGATAACATGTTCATAAGAAACATTTAAAATTAAGCAGATGAATCATTAATCAATGAATATGATTCATTTTCAAAATTTTGTTCTTAAATGTTCCTTGAATTCTGTGAAATATACGTATTATCCTGTAATAATGACTAATTTGTATTTGATAAATTCAAAAACCTAGGAACTAGTCAGCGTAAACAACTTGATAAAATAAGCAACTATTATATAGGTATGAATTTTCTTAACACATTACATGAGTGAAGAAAATGAATGGTTTTTGTAAATAAATATGCCTGTTTGAATAGTATGAGTAAATAAAGCCATTAAAATATGGGATAGATGAAAGTGTTTATTTTAGAACAAGCTATATGCTTTATTATTTTTAATATGGTGCGAAGCACCTATATTGAAATTCATTGTACGCATTTTTTTCACACTTTGTGTCGTTGTGATCTTAAGAACCGAAACTCAGAAAGTATTCGTTCAAACGTAAGGAGAAAGGTTCCAGATCGAATCGAAGCTCCTTTGTTTCAGTTTTTGTTATGATGTCCCATTCGCATACAAACAGGACCGAAAAAAGACCAATTTTTCACCACTTTTATTTCTTTTTGAAGCGTTGAGATTATATACTGCCTAGAGAATAAATAGACAAATGCATTATATTACCGACAAAATTAATAAACAGGTTACGCATTTTTAGAATAGAATGGCACAAGGGATAACATGAATAAATGCTATTAATGAGAATTGAATGATACCATACACTGTTACAATAGATTGCGTGATGTTGCTCGTTCTTTCATATGTCTCATAACATAATCAAATTTCTCGAAATCATTAGATACAGAAAATATTATAGCTATAAAAATATTATGAGTGATCTTCGTCACCACTGTACATTAAATCTTTTCATAGGATAATACATCTCGACCATTAAGAGCTTCAATCAACTTGTTAATTTATTTTAGAATTAATCGAAACAGTATTCATTTACTTTTTACTCTGCAATACAGACTTGTATAGTTTCGTTTAAAGAACGCTACTTTAGATTAATCAGAAGGCATCAATCTATGTTTTCTTTTCACTCACTCACATTCAGATCCATATCCTCGATAGATTTATGTAAAAGATCCATTCGATCCTTATCTGTCTAGATGTTGGAGAAAAGACAAAGAAGAGAAGATTATCGCATTTGTGTGTGAAATAATAAGTCTCAAAGTTAAAGAAGAAACATATTTCTTTACATTGGGTATGTCCATTTGAAGTATATAAATGATTAATATTTTTTATCGGTTACATTTTTTTTATGATCGAAGCAAACATACGTCATTTTTATGTAGAAATATTCTATGTTTTATTATTTTTTTTCGTAATTACATTTATTAATATATTGATTTATGCTTGAGTGGTTATTGAAATATTATTTCTTTTTCTATACTGTCATAATGTCCTGTTTCCACAGTATCTCCATTATCTACTTAGATGATTTCTATGACGTATTTAAATTTTATATCAACGAGCAATACTTAATGAATACCGAGACATTAGTCATAAGTTATAGAAATTTACTAGAAAACAAAGCAAATTACTTCACACCTTATTTTGAATAGAATAGTTATGAACGTTTTGAAACCATTTTAATGAATAATTTTCATTGTCTGTTGACACAAGTGAGAAGGAATACAATGAATAAAATCCATACAATATGCATTGTGCGAGCAAAAGAATAAAACAAAAAATGAGTTGAACATTTAAAATATTAGATTATTTTTACATTTTGGTATACATAAGAAATCTCCACATCGTACATGTGTTATGCAAATTAGACTTAATCAAAAATATTAAGTTATTTAGAATGGAAAACGTTTAATAAAAATTTCATAAAGTAGCATATTTGCTTCATTGATTAGAATTATTTGTATCGTTTATTTAAGTATTTTATTCTGTTGTCTCACGAAAGAATCGTAAACATGAGAAAGATGCTTTTGTTAGAAAACTAATTAAAACAGATAATATTTTATGCTAGGTACTCAATTTCAAGTCATTTTTATAGGCCATATTAAACAATAGAAATGAATTTTAGTTGTTCAGATTGGCTGAATGGCATTGCCAGCTGATTCTTAAGTTAGACTCTAGAGTTTTGATATTCTATCTGGATACTGCTTCAATATGTCATCAATCA